CATCCCTGGGGCCACAGGGCCTTTAACTTCCCCCATACCTTCCCCTGGGGGGGGGAGTCCTTTTGCATGGGGCGCAGGGGGCCCCTCCAGAGGAGATACGCCCCTTTTCCCGGAAAAGTGAGTTTGTTGTTCCCCGTTTCCCCTTCCTCCCCTTTCATGTTCCCCTCCCCTGGCGGATTTTTTTTTGAAAATTTCAAAAAAACACCAACAAAAAGGGGGGGGGACTCGTTTTGTTCAGAAATTGGGGGGTTTTTTTAGAAATTTCGGGCAGGGTTCCCCCCCCCCTTTTTTTTTTTTATTTTTTCCCTGACAAAAGGGGGGCCCGGGGGATCGGGGGGGGGGGGGGGGGAGGGCACCCACGAGGGAAGGGTGTAGTGCCAAGTCAGCCAGCAGAGGTATACTTACCACCTCGCTTTCCACACTTGAAGGAAAGCAGTAGGAAGCATGTATCCCATCGGTTGGACGGCGCTGCTGTGCGAGAAGTTTGTGACTTCCCCATCGGTGTGCATGGGTAGGGAACCCCACTCTTAGCCGGATACAACAACACAACACCCCTCTGTATGACAGGTAGTTCCACGGAAACAGACGTTCCTGAACACCCCAACATGCCCTGTGACACAACATGAGGCAACACATGCAGCACCAAGCGGCAGTAATCACGCCGCACAAACGCCAACACGCCGTACACAAGCGGGCAAGCGGGCAAGGAGCCCTACGGTGCTATGTACAGCAGCAGTAGCGCACCTTCCCATACCCAACAGTCCACCCCCTGGCTGAGGCCGACCTTGATGGCCTCCAGGCGCTCCTCGAACTCCAGCACCGCGTTCGTGTGCAGCTGGTTGCTCCTGGAGGACCTGTCGTATCGTGACAAGGAATGTGTGGCACAGGGGGGTGGTATTCAGCGTCATCCATGGTGCGTAGCGTGTGTGGGGTGTGGTAGAGAGGGATAATCGGCGGAGATAGGTACCTCTTGAACTCTGACAATTAACATCATCAGTGAGATACGATGCATGTGCTGTACTCGCTTCCCCGCGTCGCATCAACACTACAAGGTCGATGGCAGTCAAGATGGCACGAGAGGAAAAGATGCATAACGTAGATGTCGACGGGGGGAAGACAGAGACGATAATATTCTGGAGACACGCGTCGACCCTCAAGAGGGCAAAAAATAAGGCACATTATGTCTGTCTCTCCAAACCAACAAGACCTATTGCTGTAGAGTGTCTCTATCTGTCTACCCTTGTCTGTCTGTCTCTCTCTTTCTCGCTCAGCATCCAACTCACCCAGGCACGCTGTTGCTCGTGCTTCCCGGCGAGCTCGCATGGCTACCGCTATTGCCACCGCCGCCGCCGCCGCCGCCGCCGCCGCCGCCGCCGCTACCCCCGAACCCGCCACCAGCACCACCACCCCCTCCGTTGTCGAAACCATGCACGGCGCCCCTCCACGCAGTAGTAGGGGTGCGCAGAGCGTTCCCCTCCAGGTTAACCCTAGGCCTCCCGGAATCGGATGACGCCACGAGGGCGGCGGCCGAAGCGGCGGCCTGGGCCGCCGATTGCTCGGCCTTTTGCTGGGCCTTCCGCGCGTCCTCTAGCTCGAGGGTGAGGGTTTGCACCGCCTTGGCCTGCGCGCGTTGGGCGTCCGTCGCCGCTGTGCGTGTCGCGAAAGAAAAATGATGCAGCCGCAACGCGGAACAGGGACGGCATGGGTAGGTTAGAACAGCAGGCCTCAACAACAGACGGGGGGGATAACAACAAGAGAACCGTTGGTGTATTTAACCGCACAACAGCAGCGATGACGACAGAGGAGAAGGCAACGAGGGCAGCCCCCTCTGCAACAACCAACACACACTGAGGAGCACCAGCCACAGCAGACCGTTTAGATGAGTGGGATGGAACCATTCCGTCCACACGTGTGCTGCAGTTTGCCGGTCATTGGTGATCGTTTCAATTTCTTTCAGCGTACGACAGCAACAAGCAAGGGCACCAACGATGACCAACTCTCAAATTATGCTTAGAGTACCGTACCCTGCCATACCACACCGTACCGTACCGTACCATACCATACCATACCATACCGTACCACCATGTCACGTCATTCCACATCTCACCATCCGCTTCGGTCTGCAGGCGAGCGTTCTCCTCCTCCGCCGTCCGCCTGGCCTCCCTCTCCTCGTCCAGCACCTGGCTCAGGTTGCTGATCATCATGTCCTCGTTGTTCATCCCCACCAGCAGATCGTCGCCGTCCTGAGGTCAGAAACCGGTGCCGAGGAAGGAGGGGACGAAGGTCAACATTCCCAGCACAATCGGGTACAGTACACGAACTTGCTTCTTTATGTATACGGCATGCATGGACAGTTCCGAAACGGCAAAAACGCTATGCAATGAATGTGCGTGTCAGAGTCGATTAGAAGTGACTTAGACAATAAAAAAAAAAAAATGGACAGCGTTCGCCGGTCGGCCAATGAAAAAAAGACGCCAGTGCTACACATATGAATGGGTCGACCAAAAACACGCGAAAAAGGGTTTTTGTCCACGTCCTCCACAGACAGAGGGAGGGGGGGGGAGGCGATTAAGGACACATGTGTGTGTGTGTTTCATAGCATCGACCGCGTCAAACATCTCAGGACCCCAGCCCCAGTGTGGCAAAAAAAAACAGAAAACTCCCAAGGCAAACAACGTGGTGCCCCGTGAGGTCGGGAGGGGGGGGGGGGGGGGGGTAGCCCATGTTGTGTTGACATTCCGCGCCGATGCTCCGCAACCGTCACCACTCGCCTCGTCGCCGTTTTCCGAGCCCAGAACAGCGGAGCCGTTGGTGGTCCCCTTGAGAGAACCGCCGTCCTCTCCGTCTTCACCGGCCGATGCCGCTGCCGACATGCCGCGATTCTTGAGGCTCTTGGACATGCGCTTCGCAAGCTCCTCCGAGCGGTCCCGATCCAACACCGCTCGCTCTCGCTCTTGCCTGTGTTTTGTTTTTGTTTTGGTTTCGATAAGTTTTGGGTTCATGGCTTGATAGTGTTGCCGTGCTCTTGACTATTGGTTGTTTCGAGGTATGGGGTTAGGTCATGACGGCAGTGTTGCTATTTGTGCTCGTGATTACTGATGTTGCTGCTGCCGCGAAAAGTGTGGTCAGCGGCCTGACAGTGTTGCTGATGCTCTTTGTTCGTTGCTGTTGCTGCTTCTGTTGGCTGTTAACGTTTTGGGGTCTCCACGTGTCAAACAAAAAAAAAACGCCGCCCGGTATCGTACACTCCAAATCCTTGCACATTCCAAAACAGCAGCGAGACCCCGCTCGCTTGGTCACGGGGTTATTGACACAACACGCAACCCATCACCTGACCACCTTTCTTCCTTATTTCATCTCTCCCGTTAACTACTTTATGCCTCTCCTCGCAGACACCTCTTCACATTCACCTTTCTCACTCACTCCGAAGACATCGCCCAAAACAAAAACTCTAATTCCGTACACCTGGTACCATACATCATTTCGCGCCCGTAAAAGTCCAGCTGCCGAACAAACACCGCCCAGCTACCGATCACAACATACCTCTCCCGCACCTCAATAACCCCTATCACACCGCACTACACAAATCGCGTGCCAGGTACAATGCGTCAGATCGTGCACCAAGCATAAGCGGCCCCCAAAACACCCCCCGCTGACACGAAAACGCGCCCACCTTTCCCGTGACAACGCAGCCTCCAGCTCCCCGAGCTGCTTCCGCAAAAACGCCGATTCCTTCTCCTCTTCGATCTCAGCCTGCCTCTCAGCCTCAGCCTCTGCCTTGGAAGCCCCCCCGGCCGTGCCCGCTGCCTTCGCCACGGCTGCCTTAAGCGCCGACTTCTCTGCCGCTAGCTCCTTCTCCAGCTTGGCCACCGTTGCGCGCAGGGCCTTGTTCTCGCTGCCGCCGCCGCTGCCGCTGCTCCTCCTGCGGTGGCCGTTGTTGCTGTCCGGGGAAGCTGATGATGATGATGATGATGATGCGGCGGCGGCGGCGCTTGCCATAGCCTTGGCCTTCTTTTCCTCGGCAAGCTCCGCCTCAAGCTCTGCCACGCGCTGCTCGAGCTCCCCCTGGTGTATTGTGGAGGATAAGGGCGACGACACGGTGGGGGGTGAGAGGTGGCCTATTGTTTCGTGAAAAAAAACGCCCGGATTTGCATAGTACACAGTGCGTGCGCGTTTTGCCTCATCAAATTGGACCCCACATCAGCTTGTTTCATTCTCAAAAGAAACACATGACACAAAGACCCGGTCGGTGGACTATTGATATTCACCCTTCCAAGATCCGCAAAACAAAACAAGACAAAACGGCACATACCGCATGCCGCCATTGTGCACCATTGCCCGTCACAAAGCAAAGGGGTCAACAAGGACATGAACCTGACCTCTCTCCGTATCGCTTTCTCTCTCTCTCTCTCCCCCCGTTCTCCGTGTGTTGATAATTCCCCGTGTCAACGTCACACAACCTCCATACCAGACACCGAGACACCGCTCAAATTCAGCAAATTCTATACATTTAACTCAATTTTTCCAACAATCCTTTCTCGTGTAATAACGCTTCAACAGCCCTTGGTCGTGTAGAATAACGCTTCAACAGCCCTGTATCTTGAATAATAACGCTTCAACAGCCCTAATTAACCGCCGTTGCTCACCTGTGAGCCCGTCGACGCCGGCGCCGCCGGTGCCGCTGGAGGCGGAGGCATGTTCGCCATCTCTTCCTTCTTCCGCTCAACCTCCTCCTCGAGCTCCGCAACCCTAGCACGCAGGGCCGACGCCTCTTCCGAACTCCCTCCGCTCTCCGTGGCCGCGGCAGGAGCGCTACGGCTGACGGAAGAAGCGTCAGCGTTAGCGGCGGCAGCGGCGGCGGCGGCGGCGGCTGACTTCTCCTTCTCTTCGGCGAGAGCGGTCTCGAGGTCAGCGATGGACGCGCGCATGCTCTCAAGCTCGGCGGAGTTGCCGGGAGAAGCGGCAGCAGCGGCGGTGGTGGTGTTCGTGGAGGCGGCGACGGCGGTGGCGGCAGCTTGCTTCTCCTCCTCGACGGTAGCCTCGAGCTCCGCGATCTTGGCGCGGAGGCTCCCGGTTTCGTCGGCGGCCGCGGCAGCGGCACCCGAGGCGGCCGAGTCGTCTGAAATTGATTTTGTTCGCGCGAGATGGAGAGAGATGGTGTTGAGAACCTCGGAATAAATGCTCACGGTGTAACGAGAAAGGGTGGGGGACGACGGACCAAGGCGGGCAGGCGGCCGGGGGTCTCGTGGGCGGACAGACACGGCAGTGCTTGCATTGTGTCAGCACCGACCCCGCATCAACACCAACGATCGACGGCTGACAAAAATGATACTACCAGACGAGCACTCCGCGCCATGCCACCCACATCATCACCACCAACGGCCATCCAAAGCACCCCCAAGCACAGACACAAAACACGCGGTCACGTTTCTCGACTCACCGGTAGCAGCAGCGGCGGCGGCGGCAGCAGCAGCAGTAGCAGTTGCAGCCTCAGCCTTTGCCGTAGCGGCAGCGGCAGCAGCCTCTGCTTTGTTCTTGGCAACCTCCCCCTCCGCCACCTGTGTCTCCAGCTCTCCCACCTTGGCCTTGAGCTTCTCTACCTCTTCCCTCAAGCTGTCCGCCTCCTTCATAGCCGATGTCAGCTGCACAAGAGCAGAAAAACGAGGGCAGGGGTCGTCAGACCAAGAGCTATGCACTCGCATCACGGAGTTCGTGGAACACGTGGCAAGCTTTCAGCACTGCGGGTGACACGACAAGTCGCCGACATGAAAACTGCCAAGAGGAGGCGCACGTGAGTGGCACGCAAAGCATGCTAAGCAACCACCCCAAACAAGACATAGGACCTGGCCTACAACAACCACGGCACCCTGTCCATTGATGGTGAGGAGAAATCGGGCGGATGCGCGGAGTGTACATCTACCGTACCTAAGGCGCGCCAGAGAGACTATCCAACAAACCCACCCACACGCACCACCCCACCCCAGCAGCTAACTTCCTCGAGAGTAGCTCCGAGACGAAACAAAACGTGTTTATACCAATGTCGTCGTATGCAGGGAAAACCGCACACCCGCAGACACGCGCACGTCAGGCACCTACCGTACCCGCCTACACGATAGGGGCTACTACCGTACCGAACAAGAAAAACAACGGGGACGGCCTTCGCGAGAAACTAATAAATTAAGAGGAAATAGAACAGTGAGGGGGTACGCAGACCGTATTCCCTATCCCTAACCCTAACCCAACTTCCCCGATTGCATGCGTTATCCAGCATGTTGACTTACTAGAAAAATAGAAAAACCCTGCCAACAAGGGTCCCTCCACCTGGAAACATTGGAACACCCTAGGTTACGTGTCAATGTTGGTCGCGTGGGGGGGGGGGGGAGGGGGGGGGCTTGTATGTCCCCGGGCGGAGACGTTTTGGCAAAATCGCCGGGGTTTCGACATGTTTCGGGCGCTTTTTCTAGTGCGCGCGTGCGGGATCCCACACAGAGCTAGTGGAAATTATGGAAACACCCCAAGAATACGCGTCAATCTTGGTCGCAAGGACCAGTGTATGGTGTAGGAAATAGTATAACGACACGAAAGCCTACAAATTAAAGGATTTTATTGGTTTTAGAATGCGGCGCGAAAGTCTATTCAATGAAGAGTATATTGGTTTTCTATGGACACACTAAATCCTATATAATAGACTGCTGAAAGTGAGCCGCCTAAAGTGGCTATCCTGCGTGTCTCAATCTTGGCCCGGGAGGGGGAGGGGGGGTTCCACGGTTTCCACATGGAGCGACCCTTGCTGCGAAGGCTACTGCGTCAGCCCCCCCCCTCTCCCCCCACTCGGTGTTTGCCATCGGGATTGGGTTTTCGTCGCTTGGCAACGACGTTGTAAAACAAGCCAATTCACTTCGTGAACTCGACAACCAGGTTACCGTTTTTTTTTTTTACCTCGGTTTTTTTTTTTGGCGGTAACCATAATGGTGGTCGAGTAGATCATGTTGTGCGGGGTCGAGAACCCTCACTCCGCGCAACGGGGGATGATCGCACCACGTTGTGTTAAAATGGTCAAGCTTCCTCGAGGCAGTTACACAGTGCTTACAACTGTCTCTGGAAGTGAAAGCACCAGAAAATAAATTAAGTCATACGTAGCTGTCATCCGTACGCAAGGAAGTAAGCACAAGATGCCGAACACCCTTAGCAGGATGCAGCTCACCCTTCATGCGACTCGCCAAATACCTCACGGCGCTTCGCGCTTGGTGATGTGAGAGCCTGGTCCGGTGAGAACCCGGCGTGCTCCGTCCCGGCTTAGTAGGGATGCGAGGTCAATGGTCTAACGACTACGGCATGCACGACTATGAGTACACCCCCCTCCCCCCCGGCTCTAGAACGCACCCGCTCATCGCCGGCGGCAGCCGCAGCGTTTGAGGCGGCCTCCCTGAGCACCAGGATCTCTGCCTTGAGGCGCTCGTTGTCCCCCTTGAGGTTGCCCACATCCTTCGCCTTTATGCGAAGGTCCCTCAGCTCCCCGTAGGCTATCTTCTGCCGCATCCGGCACTGTAGCGCCAGCGTCGCGGACCGCAGCTTGCGGTGGGCACGCCACGGGGCGAGCATGCGGTACCAGCTCTGGATTTTAGTGGACCGGTGCTGGCGCCTGTATGGCAACAAGTGGGGGGGGGGGGGCACATGGATTATGGCGGGCCAGAGCGAGTTTTGACTGAAAATTCGGCCTCCTAAATACCAGTTTTGCGAGAGGCTTCAACGTTAACATCGAGGAGGTCGTGGGTATGTTACTTGTTGCTGCGCTGCAGTTGCTGTATCTTCATCGTGAACGAAGCGAAAGTGATATGAACTGACTAAAGGTGCCCTCCCAAGATGCTGCACCTTCTCCTACCCATTTCCTCCGTATGTAACCACCAAAACGCCAACCAATGTCAATATGCATACAAACCGTTACATGCGTCTACAGTAGCGAATATCTATATATCGGACATCTATCGGAGATGTATCTCACCTAAGCTCGATGTGGACCTTGGCGGCCTTGCGCCAGCGCGTTGCGCACTGCAGGGCGAGGGCCGCTCCCTTGATGGACAGGAAGTTCTTCCTCGCAAAGTGACGCCGGTAGGCCGTCTGCGTGCGAAGCGCCGCCCGCATCCGGCGCATGTGCTCTACTTTCCGACGTGCCTAAGAAGAACCAAGTTAAACAAGATTGTGTTCAAGAGATAAACGGAAAGCGGTGGAGGACGCGCGGGGGCAAGGGTTGGAACATTGTATGCACATTTATGGAGCATGTCATGAATGTGGGGGGCGAAAGGAGAGGGAGAGGGGGCCGCTTGAATGGCCAGCGTCGCACGCTTCCACGACACATGGAGCTCATGCTTTCGACAAACAATCCTCTGAATTTCTTGTTCGCATTGATAGTTTTCAGGGTGTGGAGCGTGCGGAGGGTTCGTGGGGATTGGACGCAGCAACAGCACGTACCAATCGAGGTGTCTACATTTTAGACCAACGTCGAGGGGGCAATACAAGCACTTGGTTGCACGGAAACTGTTCGTGCTCCGTCCTTCGAAAGAGGGGGCAGTGCGGGAGGATATGCGCCACGCCTTCGTAAGCGATGCACGGCAGGCGTAGGGAGAAACCTCACACGCGATACTTGATAGTCCCAAAAAAGCTACACGGACGTGCCTCTGGACTATCAACGATCACATATGCGAACAAGTACCACGAAAAAAAATCAAAACAAGCACTTGTTGTCTCCGAAGAGAGAATGACAAACAACCAACAAATAACTATTGATGGGACAAAATATCGGCCTGCGCACGGCGGACCAAAAAAAAAACACAACAAAATACTTGTGACGAATCGAGGGAGGAGGAGCAGGAGGAGGAGGAGGAGCAACTTGATGCCAGCGAACACCCGAATCTGCAATATAACCCACTCTACCGAGTCTTCTATTATAGTGAGCTAGCACTAAGAAGTGGATGAGTACACTACGCAGGCACCCGTCCACAGGCCAGCGCGACTCAGGTTCAGACTCGAGACTCACGATCATGCCCCTTGACATCCTCTGGATGAGCAGCAGGGCGTGCTTGGTGGCGAAAAACACGCGCCGGTAGACGAAGCCCCTGGCCACTCTCTGCAGCGTCACCGCGGCCGACGTGATGCGCTGGGAGCGGATCATCTCCAGGAAGTCGTGGGCGTTCTTGCGCAGAAACACCTGCAAAAACAAAAAAAGGGGGAGAGGGGGGGGGGGGGGGGGGGGGGGGAACCCTTTTTTTGGGGGCTTGGGGGGAAAAACCAGACCCCCCCCCCCCCCGGGGGGGGGGCATTTTTTCCCCGGGGACCAAAACCCGGGGGGAAAAATTTCTTTCCCCCCTTTTTGGGGGGGGAAGGGGGGGGACCCCCAAAATTTTTTGGGGGGGGGAAAGGCCCGCGCTTTTGGGAAAGGGGGAAAGGGTAACAAAATTTGGGGGGGGGCCCCCCCCCCCCCCCCCCGGGGTTTTTCCCTGTTTTCCCCCCGGGGGGGGGGTTGGGGGAAAAAAACCCGCGCCCTAAAAAGGGAAATCCGAGAAACCCCCCCTGGGGAAAAAAAAAAAACCACCGGCAAAAACTCCAAAAAAAAAA